TCACCACCCCGTTATAAAGGGGACGCTCATAGCATCCATCCATCCATCCATCCGAGCTTGAAGGGTTCAAGTGTCCTTTTTGCACCACCCGCCTCGCCCACGCCCATGTCTACACTTCATTCATTGAACACCGCGCTGAGAACTAGTTGAATAAATGCGCAGATTTGTTTCCTTCCACATCCTATATCGCTGCATAAAAGATTCTCACATTGTGAAAAGTAGGTATTTTGATTCGTTTGAAGGAAAGTTACATTCAAAGCATGACAGATACTCAAAAAATCGGTTTCATGCAATCGCAATAAGAAAACTCGAAGCAGAGGTGCTTCTTTTTTGTGCAGCGTACAGTGTAAAAGTAAGATCGGATTCGGAAAAAGCGAAATGAGTGACGTGCGTCACTGCTTGCTCATTGTTCAATGAAAGAAGGTTTCATAAAGTATGACGTAGCCAACAACAGCAACAAACTGCTGCATCTTAAATTAAAAAAAAGCAAAGTGCTGCACATTCACGGTAGAACATGCACTTATATTGAAATACGCGTTATTTTTTATGAATGCAAAATAAAAACTATTTTACCAAACGCTTTCCATTCATAGGGATGTCGATACATCTGTGTAGTGTCATTTATGCTATTTGGATGAAAATCCCTGAATTTCAACGAATTGAGTAACCTGTGGCAAAAGAGCCTTTTGAATTTTCAGTTTCGGTTTCTGCGCCGCCGACGCCGCCGCCGACGACGAAAATTGGCCGCACGCCGCCGCCGATGAAAAAACCGGCGTGCGCCGACAACGCCGCCGCCGCCGACTCTGGACGACCCCCACGCCGCCGCCGGTCGAAATCGCCTCGGCGCACACCTCTACCGGCAGCAAATCGCGGAGGCCACGACTAGGGTGCCTTGATGCCCGCACACTCCGCTGGGGGCGCGTGCATCGATAGACTCTACTCACGCTTCGTGCGCGCGACTGTGTAAGCGACGTCAACTTGTGGCCGCGTGCAGAACAGCTCCGCTATTTATGAATTTCTTGTTTCGAGGACGATTCTGATTACTGTGGAGCAGTTGAAGTCGAGAAAGGCCCTCAAGGGCCACAACTTTGTTGTGACGAGTGACCGGGTGTGGGAGCCGTGGATGAACAAGTCGCCGCCTGACTACTCCCACTGCAAGACAAAGGCCTCTCCCATGTTCCGCCAATTACCTCGGTCCTGTGCTTGCTTTATATATCCGCAAACTCTATATTTTCACCTGCCCGCCCAACTTTTTGTCTCCCCCCCTCCCACTAGCTTCCTCTTGGAGTCCAGCCTTTCAAGAGAATTAAGGCAGCACAGTTTATTGGTGATCAAACCGGAAACTTTTATCAGTTCTCGTAGCTCAGTCTAAGTGAAACACTCAGCATGTGTGCGTATTCATAAGCTCACAAGAGCTTGAGTATGGAGCAGTGGTGGTGTTAGTTGTTTTCGTAGGAAAAAGTAAAAGAATATCCTGAAACATGAAGTTAATGAGAACTATCAGGCAATGAAAACTAACAGGCTAAATAAAAGTGGACGAAGAGAACTTGCCGCGGATGGGACCGAACCTGCGACCTTCGAAGAACATGCAAAATGTTCAACGAGTGCATCGGACGTGTTATTCGAAGGTCGCAGGTTCGGGTCCTACCGGCGGCAAGTTGTCGTTTCGTCCACTGTTTTTTTTTCTCGCATTTACTTCAAACGAATTCCCTGCACATAAATTTCTTGTCGCTATTGTCTTTTAGCACTTATTAACATTTTGTCTAACGAAGAAACATGATCGAGTCCTTACAATTGCAGCGCTTCCCTTAAACGAGGAAGAGCGTTCGATATGTCCGTAAAATGTTTACTAGTTCCCGCTCGTACAACAGAATAAAGTATGGCTGAGAGCTCTAGCGTTATAACACCTTTGCTCAATGGTAGCCTAGCTCTTGTGCATTGTGGAGTAGAAGGTGCGAAACCGTCGCATAGGTATAGCCCGCATCACGCAGCCTGAACTGCGTGGCACTAAGACGTGAATTACAATCTTCACGGGAGAGTCGTACGGCACATTTCATTTTATAATTACAAGATTGCTGTAATAAAGAAAAACTTCGCCACAGAAGTTAGTTCGTTCGTGTGGAAGGTTAGCAGTTGGGTACGGGAGCGAAGTTTGCTTTTTGCCCCCCCCCCCTCAGGTAGATGCGCTGTAATTGTAGATGTAGATCCTAAACTCGTGGCTCACACCCACCCTGGGGATCAGCTTATGACAAATACACTCCCAACCTCAACTTCCTTCCCATCGGAACCATCTTGAGAGCCCAACAAAAACACGACATATTAGAATGAACGGACGAGAACAGGCACCCATTATCCGCTGGTTTTATCGAAGGAAAATCCACACCTTCATACATCAAAACGCTGTGCAGGGCCACCGTCACAACAACGAGAAAAAAAAATCACTGCATCACAGCATATTCACGGAGAATGATGATGAGTGGGGCGAAGCTTCGAAAGGTTTTATCAGCGCACCGTGAATCATCCGCAGGTCGGATCCATTTGTACGTCCATCTGTCCGTCCGTCTGTATGTATGTACGTTCGTTTGTTTCTCTGTCCGTTCGCCCGTATATATGTATGTCCGTTCATCCATCTAGTGAACACTCCGAGTACCACCATCTCGCATCTTTTCATCATATATTCATCATATACAAGTACCGCCATCCAGCGGAAATTCTAAGGATTAAAAGGACATGTGGCTACTACATACAGGAGACGCACGTCCCATGCCTTAAGGATCTTCGCCCCTAAAATTTCAAACCAGGTGGTGGTTGTGATGCGTGACGAACAGCGTGTTGTGCTGCGGGCGCATGTCGGCCGGGCTCCGTGGAAGCAGCTGTTGGGTTTCTGGCAGGGAAGCTAGAAGATCCTTAAAACAGCCCCCTGCACTATGCCACGGGCCCCGCCCGACATCTTCCTGATGACTCACACAAAAAAAGTGGCAGCATATCCACGGAGTGAATGATGGAGAGTTGGGCGAAGCATTCGTCCGTCCATGCGTCCGTCTGTGTGACTCTCCATGCGTCTGTTTGTGCGCCCGTCCCTGCGTTCTTTCATGCATCCGCCCCTGCGTCCGTTCATGCGTCCATCCATGCATCTGTTTGTGTGTCCGTTCGTTCATCTATTCAACACTCCAAGTCCCACCATCTCGCATCTTTTTATCATATATTCCCCATATAGAAGCACCGCCATCCAGCGGACATTCCAAGAACTAAACGAGAGGTGGCCCACGCACACTTTCTTACGGCCTGCGCTTTGGGTCCACTTCCCACCTTTAACCACCTCGAGTTCATGGTATATTCTAATTTACTGTATTCATGGCACTGCGACCAAACGCTCGCTAAACCTTTCGAAAACCAAGGAGGTTACGCCCAGCGAGTATAACGTAGCAACCTTTCCCTGTCAGATAGGGCTCAATTTACATGCCAATGGCTGCTAATGAGAAATGAGAGACAGGAGAATTCGGCTTTTACTTTCTTACGGCTTGCGCTTCGTATCTACTTCTCATTTTTAACCACCTTGAGTTCATTCATGGTATATACAAGTTCATTGTATTCATGGCACTGCGGCTCAACGCTCGCTAAACCTTTCTAAAGCTAAGGAGGTTACACCCAGCGAGTATAATGTAGCATCCCTTTCTTGTCCGATAGTGCTCAATGTACATGCCAATGGCTGCTAATGGGGATCGCAGCGTGCGCGTTGACTAAAAGCCGAATGCTCATGTCTCTCATTCCCCATTAGCAGCCATTGGCATGTACATTGAGCACTATTTTTTATTGTTAAACAACGCACAGAAGAAATCTCTCACTGGCACCACCTTGGAGGTCAAGTGTTATACCTATTTCGGCTATGTGTCACTGGTGGTTACATACGAGAGACGCCCAAGCCACGCCATAAGGAGCTTCGCCCCTAAAAGATTTCTCTTTGTCGCCTCCTACAATTTCACCCGCCTATGAGTCAAATCACTCACCTAGCCGAGCCACGTGCGTGATCTGACGAAAGACGCAAAAAAACATAGCCTCCGAGATCCCGACTTTGATCGCCGTGCATAATCCTCTACTCGGCGTCAGCGACAACCGGCCCAACAAGCCATGGTACACCATGCCAATACAGCCGCCTCGACCAATGGGGTTTCTGACTAGGGAGTCCACCTAGTACTGTAGGGAAGCTGACCCACTAGAGGCTGGTTTTCATGGCAACCTTTATGTTTGTTTAAATAATTTTTTACCACCACCACCTACCTATCCCAGACTATCTGGCGCGAAAGGGTTGATTTGAATCACCCGTCTTTTTGCGTCACATTTGTAGACGCAAGGATTGTGGTTGCTTTCGGTTTCGCTCGCTCACATTGTGGACGCGTTCATAACGATATATATCCAAAAAGAGATTTCATTACTGCATTACAAACTATAGGGTCACATGAGAAGTATGAAAGGGGAATTAAATAAACTATTTCTTTGTAGCAAAAAGCGACAAGAAAATGCGCACAAATTTAGAAAAAAAAAAGCCTCTCAGTTTTTCAAAAGTTTGTCCTAGTCCAAGGAGAAAGTTTTCTGGTTTTCAAAGAACTGATTTTTGTTAGGAGTATAGTTTTTTTTTTTTTGATGACTAAACGCGTTTGCAGCTGCACATTGAACTATTACGTCGTGAAGTTCATGTGTAGATCAGTAATAAAGAACCATATAGTAAAAAATGTGGTTTGAAAAAAAAAATACTGTCAATTTGAATAGTGCTGATTAAGAAACAAAACTTACAGGAAAATGTAAATTGAACAATAACTGTATTTTACTTGTCATGGGTAATACCGAGCGGGCAGAGAGCATTGCCTTCAAGATTTGCACAACAAATGTTTTTGCTCTCCTTCCCTGGGAGCGCTTTAATCGAAGATTGTTGATGCTTTTTGCGATTGTTTGTGAACTACTCATCGAGTGGTTTGAATTTCCAAGACACCAGCAGTCCCTGCGGCAGTTTCAGCGATCGTGTGTGCACCGTGTGTGGTTGTGTGAAATTTCGACTCTCCTGTTAATTCTTCGTAGTCGCCGCTGGATCCTTGCTGTGCCCTGTGTTGATGTGACGCCCTGTGCTGCACTAATATGAGCGAGAGAAACTTCCTAGATGTTCCTGAGGACAGCGAAGCATCTTACGAGTCGCTCTTTCGTCAGGTAAACGCGACGGCAGGCCGCCAGTGTTATTCCAAAGCGATTCTTTTCTGGTTGGAAGAGGGTTTCCGATTGTCAAGCATCGTATCATATCTTTAACAGTGGCGAGTTTGAAGTTTAATCAGTTGTTGGCCTTTTAACAGCACCGTCGGACCGGCGATTACTCGTGTGCCAGCACCGTGCACGACAGTTCCTAAGCTCGGAGACGCGCAACAAGGAAAGCATGCCTAATAGATTGAGGTTGCTGAAAATCGGTAGAGCTTATGAAAACTGATGTCTCAGTGTCGGCTCTGTCTTATTGTCACAGTTTGTAACAGGTGCGGCAAACGTGTGGTTCGGTTGTGCACTCTGGCGTAGGTTGTCTATGCCGAAACTGACATCAATCATTCCAAGTGCGCTGCACTTAAGGAGACGGGGCTGGCGTATGCTTTGATCTTATGCTGTCGTCGTCACTTGGCGTTGTGCAGGCAAAACCATGTATCGCCTGAGCGTGCTCGCGACCAAGAGAACTCGTCTTCGAACGCGTTGATGATTGTATTAACACAGGCAAAACCGCATATATTCCATTTGTATCATATTGACCGCGCTACTTCCTCTTGTTCTTCGAGCGCCTCGGTGATGATATTAACTGCGCAACACTGTAGGTGTCCGGACTGGCGCAGCGATGACAATGAAATCTGCAAAGGTGCGATCAGAGCTAGCTCTGTCATGTGCTGAATTAAAGGACCTGGCAATACAGGACTTAGTACCGAGGAAACGACTTCACACGTTCAGAAGCACGCGTCCCCGTTATGGACGCTGAAGAGCTCGCGCGTGCAGAGCGGCGACGTGCGCTCGCCCGCGAGCGCCAGCGTCGCCGGAGGGCAAACGCGGAGGTACGTGCAGCTGAAGCCCAAGCGAAGCGCCAGCGCCGGGAGCAAAACCCCGAGCTTCGCCAAAGAGAGGCGGAGGCCCAGCGACTGCGCAGTGCGGCGAATCCGCATCACCGAGCCCAGCAGGCACAAGCCGCTCGCCGGCGAAGAGAAGCGAACCCCGAGCTCCGAGTCAAGCAGGCAATAGCAGCTCGCAAACGACGGGAAGCCAACCCGGATCTCAGAGTCCGACAGGCAATAGCTGCTCGCCAACGCAGAGAAGCGAACCCCGAGCTCAGAGTACAGCAGTCAATAGCCGCCCGCCGTCGAAGGGAAGCCCATCCCGAGCTCCGAGTCAAGCAGGCAATCGCTGCTCGCCGACGGAGAGAAGCGAACCCGGAGATCAGAGTTCAGGAGGCAATAGCAGCTCGCCGGCGAAGAGAAGCCAAACTTCAGCTCCAACTCCAAGAGGCAATAGCTGCTTGCCAGCGAAGAGAAGGGAATCCTGAGGTTGGTCAACACAAAGCGCAAGCGAGCTGCCAGGAAGGAGAACTTCTGGAGTCTGGAGGGGAAGGTACAAGTCGCGAGCGTGACTTCGTCGTCCATACCTTTGGCCTAAGCTGCAAGGTTTGTGAGTGCCTGTGGTTCGATAATTGTTTGATGAACATCGGTAACATCTGAAGTATCGAAAGCAACTAAGTATAACACGAACAAATCGTCAGTGCAGGGGAAACGCAGGTGAACCACTGGCTCACTACCTCCTACAGCTTTTATGTTGAGTACAACTGCATGAGCTTTTTTTCATTCCGACATGAGTAACAAACCAAACGGCAATCTTTTGCAGAATTTGTCATTGCTTCGGCTGCACTGTTCCCTTCAAGACTTTTTAGCATGTTTTTTAAGCACTGGTCAGGCTGCTCAAGCGACATCACATTATTGTTAATATCTCTCATGAAGGCTTGCTAGTTTTCTGAGTAGACAAGAATGTTGAAATAAATTTTAAAATTTTAACCTCCTTGGTAGCGATAAACATCTCAAAATGGCCAACATCTCAGAATAGGCTCGGTGGTTGATGACCCAATGTTTTAAATTGCACAAACAGGACAGGGACCAAAGGAGGATGCAACAACACACTGAGTGCAAAATACCAACAAAACCATATTGCCTTGAGCACAGTTTTCATGCTTCTTACAAGTGCTACCTGGCGTGTACAACAATCAACTCCTCAGAAACGCTAGCTGTTTGCTAGATAAGTTAACAATAATAATAATTGTTGGAGTTTAATGTATGAAAATGTACTAGCAGGCTAGTCGGTAAGTCATTAGAATATATGGCAGTGCACACGAGGTTGAACAACGAATAAGCACAATAAGGGATCCAATTCGCTTGTATAAGCGAATTGATTGCTGCTGCACAGTAAGGTGCTCTTGGTGATCGTTGCACCAGGCACACGTCGTGTGAGCAGCGCAAGTGTTGTCAAGTTAAGTAATTTTATCCTGCGATAACAATTGGTTAGTGTCGGCACTTGTGTCGACCCTTTGTGTGCGCGCTCGTTGTTTAACCGGATGTGCGCTGACATGGGCTGTAACATTACAAAACCATGATATGATTATGACAGAAGTCGTAGTGGAGGGCTCCCACCCTATTTTGACCACCTAGATAAGTTGCCACCTTGTGTGCTGACATATTCATGTTATAATCTGACGTTTTCAGGTTCAATGATGTCTCTTGTCGACTCATCATTCACGAATGAGACAACACTAAGTGTGTCAAAAGCATTTTGACTGCTGCATGTTTTGCACCAGTGTCACATGGAGAGCCTTAACTGCAGTTAAGCTAACTGTGATTACGGCTAACCACAGTTAGGGTAGCTACGCAGCAGATGTAAAAGCAGCCTCCTTACTGTGGTAATCACTAACCAAGCTATGCAAGAACTGTTTACTCTCACAAACTCAGAAGCTGACAAAATGGCTGAGGAGCCTCGCACCAGGTGTAAATGGATGCAAGGTGATCGGCAGCTTCATGCTGTTTGAGGATCTTGCCTGAACGCGACTGCAGTCATCAAACAATCGTCGCATGAAACTAGAGGAAAATTAGGTTTGCCAGGGAACAGCTAGCAACGAAGATTATCTGCCTCCGGCGGGATCAACTAGAGAGTATCACTACGTTTCTTTAGGGGAACTGCTTTTTGAATCGTTCTTGTCTGGCCCTCCCATAGAGCGGCAAGCCCTGAATACGTCGGTGAAGATAGAACAAATCGCCCCGCCGCGGTGGTCTAGTGGCTAAGGTACTCGGCTGCTGACCCGCAGGGCGCGGGTTCGAATCCCGGCTGCGGCGGCTGCATTTCCGATGGAGGCGGAAATGTTGTAGGCCCGTGTACTCAGATTTGGGTATTTGGGTGCACGTTAAAGAACCCCAGGTGGTCTAAATTTCCGGAGCCCTCCACTACGGGGTCTCTCATAATCATATAGTGGTTTTGGGACGTTAAACCCCACATATCAATCAAGATAGAACAAATCCACACACTGTTTAGGAGGTGTCGAAGGGCAGTTTCGTGCCACAATACTTCCAAGGATGCGCCAGAACTTCTTGCTGATTAGCACAAAATTTGATCACGTTGCTCAAAGGAGCACATGTAGCAATGGCACGCCACGTTCATGTTAACTGTATGTAACGCTGAAAGCCATGGGAAGGAAAACACAATTAAATATATCCATGTCATACTCGCATTACAATGTACCGCTAACCCCCCCCTTTGTACCCATAGGTCAACAGGCACACTCATGAGTTGATCCACTCAGACTTAGATAAACCCCGAATGCAGAGATGTTACTTGGCTCGCGACTTCAACTTAACTTGAGCAAGTCGGCGCGAAGCAAGCAGCGGACTTCAAAACGCCCAAATCAGCCTTCGCGTTTCATAGATGCTCAGGCTGTCTTGCTTGGTCAAGTCAAGAACGAGCTTGAAAGCGGAAACACGCTGCTTGCCTGCTAACGAGGGTATTAATGAAGTTGTTCGCGTAAGGCATGCATTACGCCAAAAAAAGACCATACGTTTTGAAATAACTATGAAAACGAAGGGCCACAAGCATATTCTTGCTATTTTACAGCTAACGAGCGGCACGTGGTGCCTGCCACCACAGCGATGCGCAGTGTTGCTTCTGTAAAGCGTTCGTTGTCCGCTGGTTTTAGTGGCCACCCAAATGCGGTGCGTTTCTCCATGGTTGCTTGTTTGGAGGCGAAACAAGCATCGCATTGGGTTCTTTCGTCGTTTTTTTTCCCTCAATCGAACGCCATGGCATGTATTTGTGCTGACCTGGCTCACGAGGTGACGCGATTTTCACGGTATTTGCCTTTCTGTTCGCCTGTGTGCATGCCTGTAATGGGCTAGGTCGCAGTTAATATGAAAAAAAAAAACAAGTTCTGGGAACAAATGTGATTCGTATCTTTTTGTTGAGCTTGGTAAACAAGAGAAAAAGCGGGGGTCAGGAGATTGCCCTCAGCAGAATTCTGTCTCGCGGGGTGCAGCAATGTATCGCTGCATGATGGTGATGCGGATAAAAAAACCCGTGATAGGGGCACCACTTTTTTATGTATGTGTAATTTTACGTAGCGTTGTGCTACAAGCGATGTCTTTCTGAGCGAGAAACAGCACCCTAGACGGGACGAAAGGATAGACGAGGCACACGGACACAGCACCGAGTCAATTTTTTTTTTTTTTTGTTACCGAAAGAGACGTAAAATGTCGTCGTGTTATAGAAAAACAGAAATAGCCTTTGCGGTTACGGAACACTTCGGCCTTGTCGACACCGGGGCTATTCATACGCACGTGTGGGTAGTCGACACAACCTATAACGCAAGGGAACTCAGACAATTCATAACAGTCCGCCGGCTGCGGAAAGCGCACCAGCATTGCGTACAGGTGCTTTGCGATGAGTAGCGTAACTTTTCCGACTGCACGGCACACTGTCGACTACGGAATGCGGACGAAATTTCCGGTGGCTGGTTGGTATGTGCCAGCGCTGTAAAACCTGAGAGCCATCAGTGGCTGTAACACTGGATGCACGGGCTGTCTTCGGTTGTCCCCACTTTCACGGAGCGGCAACATAACGAGCAGCTGCCCCCACGACGTTCTTCATGAATCTGTACCTAGCGTGGAATTGTTGCTCGTCGTACAACTCCATCGGATTTCCTTGGTCACGTAAAGCGGTTCCAAGAATCTTCGGCAGGCAGTGTGCCTCAAAAAATGCTACGCTTATGGCGAGGCAAGCAATCTCAAAAGCGGCAACCTTTCACGCGACGTCCATTCGAGAGGTGGCCATGTTGGAATAACGCGTGAAAGCGCTTTCAAGCTAGCCCCGCAGCTGACTTGAAACTTGTCCTGACTTCGACCGAGCTAAGTCGCCTTCAAGTCATCCGCAAGTTCGAGAATGATTTATGGTGACCGGCAAGACTGTCTTGAGTCAAGAACGAGTCAAGTAACATCTCTGCATTCGGGGGTTAGATTACGTCGTGAGTCTCAGTTAGTCCGGGTGAGTAATATTTTGGTGCGTTTTAGTTGTCTTGAGTAAGATTTTAGCGTGTCCTAGTACAAGTGAATTCATCTGAGCAAAATGGCAATTTTGTCCCCGAGTAAGCCCTAAGTGCTACAAATATTTTTTGAGCTTTTATTGCTAACAAATAGCCCTACCTGCTCATTTTTAGCATTGCTATTAACCTTATATCTGCTTAAGTACTCAAGCCTATTCGTGGATATCTCGGTGCTCTAGCATTCATCCATCATGTCAATATTCATTGATCTGAGGCACGAGTAGGGGAGGCGGATTGCCATGAAGTCTCCTTGGAAACTCTTCCACGTGAACTTCTTGATAGGAATATCTGATGTGAGTTGCATATTTAATAAAATTGTCGTTACTGGATTGAAACAACTGATAACTCATTTGATTGTACACGATGAAAAGCTGTATCATAGAGTACCAATTATGTGAGATGGTTGCATTAAAGAGTATTGAAAATATGAATGAAAAAGCTTATCTTACACTTACTATGGACTCACTCAGGCTTCCAGAGACTCGTGTAAGGTTGGCTATTTTGAGTCCAGTTTAGAAAAAGTTTACTCAGTGTGAGTCTGAGTGAGTCCGGCTGAGGAAAATGTTGGTCAGTTGAAGTCCGAATGAGCTCTCAGAGCAAAACATATTTTTTAACACAGTTTGGGGGAGCTGCAACTTCTTTGCCAAACTATAATCGTGTTCATTTTGTACACTTTTATTGTGCTCTCTAACCCTATCCTTAAGACACATTCTGGTCTGGCCTTTATATATATTATATCGCAAGAAAAGGGGATCTTATAGGGGTGTGTACTGAGCCTCAATCCGCAAGGTGGCAACATCATTGCTGCGTGGTTTCGAAGATTCCTTTGTGTGTGCTCTTTGTACTATCCTTTAATCTGCACGCAAGTGGTGTTCCGGTCGTCTATAGTCTTCCAAGTCACCATCGGTCTTGGACAGCGTGTGCGGCGAGTTTTTTGCATGCGCGGCGAATGTGGATGCTATCGAATTGACGACCACGCCGCTGGCGCCTCTCGTGACTGACGTCAACTGCATGCACCCTAAAGACTATTTTTCCTAGGGGTCTCAGTGTCGCCATGTTAGGTTGTTAACCTTTGTGTATTTTGTATTTTTATCAACTTGACGTACAGTGTTTCGGTAAACATGTACTTATGAAAATGGTTATTAGTGCAGATGACATTTCATGACCTTAATTATTCTCATTGCAATATGCAAAAACAATAAAACATCAACTTAATAGTCCTAGATGGCAGTGCCCAAATGTGTGAGGTAAAATAGTTTATATATGACATTACTCCTGCGATGAGAAATTCCAAAAGAGGGCGGTGTGGCTGCTGGATACGAAAATGGATTTGTCTTTTTCAAGGTTGCAACTGATTTCCCTAGCGCTCGTGTGTTCATCCTTTGTACCTTCTCCTCAGTCCAAATACAGGGGAAGAGAGGGCAACTACTAAAAGGGTGGGAGATGGGGGACAATGAGAAGCTACTATGGCAAGTCTGGTTAGTCTAAAGGAAGAGGAGGAAAAATGGGGGAAGAAGAGGGGGGAGGGCCAAGTGTACATGTTTTGCCGAGTTGTCAGAAAAAAAGCATCACTTAAAGGGCCAGTAAACAACCCCAAGGTGCAAAAAAATTGTTGTAAAGAGGAGTATGTTCACTTCTGCATTCTGAACATGCCGCCGCAAGAATTTTGCAAATATGTGTCATATTATCGAACTTACAGGAACTACAACATCGGTTTCAGCTGGTTTAAAATTTTGGCTTGGCGTTGCCACCCTTCTCACTCACAGGTAGGGGAAGGCGTAGCCCATCGCCGTGGCTGGTTTAGACCAATCGACGAGCTGCGTGCTACGTAAAGTTGCCGATCAGCGACTTTGTGTCACTGCACATAAAGGGAGGATAGGTCAGGCGTAGGAAAGGAGCGCGGAATTGTTTTTTGAAATCGAGGCTCTTCGCGTTGCACAGCTCTCTGATATTAAAAAAACGCAATCTCCGCAGCCCACTCTACCGATTGCCGAGCTTCTTTGGGGGAGGGTGTAAAAAAGAAAGTCGGAGTCTGTTGACTGCACTTTAACAATAAGTTAGAAATTTGTAGAAAGAAGGCTTAACATTTATCAGTTTCTACTCTGCATGTCACATATTACAAGGACTGAAGAGACCATAGAAATTATCCAAAGTTTCCTGCTATGGCGTACCTCACTGTCTCATAATGTTTCTAAGCATGTAGAACCATAGAATAGCTTCTATCTGTTGTCCGGTGCCTTTTGAGGTGAGGCTTGTTGCATTATTGTAGTGAAGCAATCACTTATGGGATAGTATATCTTCAATCAGTGCCGGTGTATTGGATTTTTTAAGGCTTTAAAGTGTATCTAGTCTTACAAAAAAGGATCAACTTAAGTGTAGCGTGGTACAGCTAGCCATGAAAAACGCAGTCACTGGGGTAACATTAAGAGGCAAGGAGAGAGCAGAGTGGGTCAAGAAACAAGCAGCTGTTACGGACATGTCTTTATTGAAATCAAGAAGAAAAAAATGGGCATCCGCAGGGCCTGTAGTGCCTAGGCAAGATATCGTTGATTGATATGTGGGGTTTAACGTCCCAGTGGGCAAGATATCGTCTGGTCATTAAGGGTATCTGACTGGATTCTCAGAGAAAACGGATTTGTGAGGGGGAGACAGAGTATCAGATGGGATTAAATTTTGCGAATAAATTAGCCACAGCATAAACAGGATCAGGTCGGTTGTTGAAATGTGGCAGAGCCCATTGCCCTGCAGTGGGAGTAGCCAGGGATGTAACAATGAGCACGATATCTAGTATGTGTGGTTTTTCTTACTGCATAAGAGTGTGCCTACATTTTTTACTGAAAATAATGTCATGCGGGGTGTTGATAGAAACTGATCTGCTTGTTATAGTTTGCTGTAATATCTGCCAGGAAAGGCCGCAGTTGTCGTTTTCACTGTTATTTCTCTGTGCAATAACGGATGTGGCTGTGTGCGCATACTTCAAATAGAGTGACTTTGTGACTGGATACGGTGAAGAAAGCTAGCCGTGCTCATTTTCTCGCAACTGTGCTGCGTTCACAGAGGCATACAAATAATTTTCTCTCCAGTCTGTGCTCGTTTACATTTTTGTGAACTCCGCAGTTGGGCTACAAAGTGTCAATTTGTTGAGATTTCTGCAGTGATTAGGGGAACTTTATTAGTACCAAATCAATCTGCTTGTAAAGGCAGAGCGTACAACATTTGAACACAAAAAGGAAACTGATCACATCACTGAATGCTGAAGTTGCGATGATGTGGTTCACAATAAAGCCCGAAGAGCCTGCCATTAAGCCTGGTGCAGTTGCATAAAGCGTGTGCAACAGGCACGCAGCTAAAATCAGCTTGATTTGTCGTTGCTATTGTTGAGGTCTCTTGATATATGGAGTGACATACTGGATCCTTTAGTATCATAAGTTGCTGACTATATCTTGATTTTATCACCACAGCTAGGGGGAGTGGTGTGTGTGTGCTTGTGTGTGTGTTCCATACATCTAGTGCCACGAGTGTTCTACATTGGGTTTTTGTGACGGGATAAATCTTAGTTTTCTTGTGCTAAACTGTTCTATAATTAGTGTCTGTTAGCTCCTGACATAAGCAGCCAGTGCGACGATTTCTTGTATTCTTGAAAGACAAATGCTATAATGTGTCATTACCGAGTCAATGGTTATTCAATTAAGCCACGATTATGAGAAAGACAATTTTTACAACACATTAATTGTAACTGAAAATTATGTATAAACTGACTTTAATAGATGCACATAAAGGAAGCGATTCAACAAAGAATTGCTTACATTGCCCAAGCTCATGCTCAAGACGCGCCAAAATCTAATAAAACAGGAAAATGTGAGTGTGGTGTCTAAAGCTACTCTTTTTGTTTCTAATATTGATGGACGCCTCACTGCTCACGTATGAGCACGATGACTGTCCTGGAAGTGCCTGCCAGTCAGTTTAAGTCCGGTTACTTTGTCTATTGTGAGACTTTTGAACATTGCACTGTTGTACTTGATTGTTTCACTTACCAGAAAGCTTATTTACGAACTCTGAAAAACATGCTCGATGTCATTTCAACTCCAGGCTGATGAAGAGTTCCGACAGTTCGTGAAGACTCTGTCCGATGAACCCGGTGCTCCCAAGCTCAAGTCCAAGACTATCAAGCCATCGCCGGGGTTCTGCGTCAAGACTAAGGACTCATCTAATGGCAGCAAGCTCTTCATTAACGTCTGCCACACTTCTGAGGTTGGTATAGGGTGTCGACAGAGGAAAACATAAATTTACGTAGACATGCAAAGGAAATAGGCGTGATGGTTGAATCATGGCATATCACTAATGTTTGAAGCACATGCCCAAGTTATCTTTCGGTTATACACTCAAACCTCACTATAACAAAGTTGTGTCCTACTAGAAAATAACTTCATTATATCCGAAAATAAGTTATATAGGTTTATTTCTAACACTATACTTATTGAAAGACTATTTTTGCTTCACTTTGTTATAACTGATATTTTTTATGTCTGGGTTCATTATAACAATGTTTGAGTTATAGTACACAAAAACATGTTCTCTTTGTTTATTGTCTTTAAAGAATACTGACGTGAAAATTTTCAACTGTGATTATTATTTTTTTACATGTAAAATAAAAGGTCAAGCTCTCAAAAGTGTAGTAATTGTACTGGTAAGCGAGAGTGTGCTCTGAAAAATTCAGTTACAACATATTTTCAAAGGCTGGTCCGGGTTCCTACTGTACCCAGATGTCACGACACGGTATGAACCTTCCGTCACATGCTCACACTAGATATAGTACCATTCTCATGGCTGCTTCACTGCATGGCTCCATTGGTAAAATGCAAGGGATCAATATGTTTGAATACCTGGCTCCATCGCAACTAGCTACACTGGTACATGTAATCACCATAATCGGTATAGCCGTAGCTTGAGATGATACTTCAATATCATTAGGTGTGCCACGCAAAAATTGACTCATGTCGAAAGTTAAGTGCTGTAGACTCTCAATAATAAAAATCGTTTGAACGGAACCACTGCCTAAATGGAACAAGTGCTTCTGACAAGATCGGTTCTGTACATTTATTCTAGGTCTTTGCTCACCTCTCACTAAATAAAATTCCTCTAGAGGGGTCATGATAGTGTCACCCAATAATTTGTTGTTTCAGTGCAAAATGGAAGGAAAGGATCAATTATGCTTAATCATACAGTCCATTCTCATTAATTCAAACTTGAAGATACCTCTGATTTTTGTTTCAATTATCAAGAAGTTTGAATTATCAGAAGATCTCAGATATATGAATGTGGGCTGGATGTCATGACACATTATGATTAGGCATTGATATTATCATGTTTAAACATTTTTCAAGTGTTTTTAAACCCTAATGAACCCTATGAAAAAAAAACAGATTTAAGATACTGCAAGTTTATTGGCCATTTACTGCTCATCAGAGCTTTTAAAGTATTCGGGAATTGCCAACTGCTTTTTTGCTATATGTGCATTTAGCACAAACCTCTCTATACCAGTTGAGAAGCATCACGGTTTGCCATGCATGTGCTTCATTTAAAACATTTTTTTACTGGCAAAGCATTTTTCTTCGAAGGCCTCAGGCAGTCTATTTGTCATTTTTAGACTGTTAGCATTACATAAGCATTCAAATTTCTACATAGCAGTGGGAATGCAGCAGATGTTTTTCAGTATAGAAACGCGAATAGTGTGAATTAACCAATGATGAGTTTGAATTAAGAGGCTTTTAAATGCATTAAAAGTTTAGACGGCCAACTAAAAATTGAATTTTGTTTAAAGTAACTGAAGGTATAAGATATCAGAATTTGAATTATCACGAGTCTACTGTATATGAAAAGTTCTGTGTAAAAGAATATATCAGTGCAATACAGGCCCTAGAAGTCACCGGCTAGAAACATTGCCCACTGCCAGCGACCACGATTTTACCATGGCATCCATGACATCATGCACTGCATCGAGCGAAGCAGTCTTCCATTCGAAATTTCAACTACGGAAAATTGTGCAATTTCAGCGACAAGCTCAATGAAGCTAAAATATTTCAATTTCATGCTCAGAATCCCATGGAACAATATCGTTTGCCAGAATGCAGATGATTGCACAGCAAGGAACTCATTACACCACTGCTCGCGTTTTTATAAAAATGTTTAAAAATTAAACGAATTGCTCAATCAAATGCACTGAAATTTCGCCAGCTTGTTTGTGAACGCGCAAGGGTTAACCCGTGTAACACAGATTACGATAGAAAATTTGCTCTTATGGCCCTTTGAAATGTAGCATATTTTACTGGTTGATGTTTCGATAAATGAGAGTTCAGTTTAGCGAGAGCAATCTTGTTAGTAAACACGTTTGTGTGGCAGTGAAAACGGGACTTGGAAAATTGGTGTCGGTTTAATCTGAGGTAAGGAATTCAAGTAAGAGTGCTGTGGTAACTCAAGACCTAGCTTTAAGGAGTGTGCGAATAATAAAATTTCATCATGAATCGATTTCAAATTGAATAGTGCTGAACATTAGCCAAATTATCGAATCTGATATTAAATGCAAAAGAATTTGTTTAAAATTTAAAGGGGCCCTACAACACTTTCTTAAGTAGCCATGGGATGGGTTCACTGGAAGAGCTTATTCTCTTACAAATTCACCACCACGAAAAATTTCAAAATCCATCCAGTACGAGCAGAGTTGCAAGATTTGCTCGCACGCTGCAATTGCATTCTCTCTTCTCTCGTCCTGACGAAAGCACTGGAAGCTAAGCAGAGAGGGATGGCATGATTAAAAAAAGACATCACGCACGCATTGCGACCTTGAGCATTGTTTTTTCTTTCGATTACGCTGCTTTTGAGTGCGATCACACCTGCACGTAAGGACATGTCGCTGCCTCTCGCGGTGTTCCCTCTAACGACTGAGCGCGCCACGCTCAAATCAGCGAATGGCTGATGGAACGGCTGGGCCGAGTGATGTTTTAGCTTCTACCGTCATTTGTCGAGAGAAAAGAAATCAACTTTTAGCTGACTTTGAGAATTTATCGTGGATTCCAGGCCGCATGCTGTCTCTAATATTCGGCTCTCATGTTTTCGGGAGCCTCTACTATCGACGGGCAATGTTTTCTGGTCATGCCCAAAAAGTGTTGCATGGCTCCTTTATACAAAGGCCGAGGAAATGAAACTTGGTTACGTCTTTAATCACATAATATGATGAGTGACTGGTATCGAATTTGCAAATTGTCAAGCAGAACTGTTGCCGGTGACCTAGCTTCAGGCTTTCTCACCGTGATGCTGCGGTTTTTCCTGAAGTCGAAGACGTGCACGCACTGGGCACTTCAGTGGCAGGGATGAAAAGATATTGCAAAACGAATTTGGCAGTAACGGGATAAGGTGCAGCTGTATACTTTATTCAGCATTTGAAAGGATTATCCTTTTTCGAGATCAGGATTTTATTGAAGTATTTTTGATGTGACAAGAGAAATACCGCTGAATGAAGAGCGACAGAAGAACCACAACGCAGGCAGTGTGATCAAGAAAATACCGGACTAGCTTACAAGGGAGATTCATGAGGCTGAGGCTATTTCATTATGGGGTTCCATGTGCGTCAGCACTTCGTCGCTCAGCCTCGGTGAGAAGCAACTGTTGTTCTGAAGAAATTAGTATTGTGCACATCATGTCTTGTGGTTCTTGTTGAGCGATATGAGTAGTCGAGAGTGGCAATGAAACGTTATGTTGGAAGTTAGCTGTTTTGTTCTGTGTCTTTTTATTGCGTCCCCGTTCATTCAGCACCATTCCTCTCGTCGTCAATAAGTACCAAGAGGCCTAAATTTCAACAGTGCTATTTTTGAGACTCGTCACTAGAAGATCTGGGCTGAATGTGCAGGTTATTTTTCTCCCTCTGCAGTTTGACCAGTCTCCCCAACTGTTCCCTTCTTTACTGGAGGCATGCTGTGTGGAGATTGCAGAATCGCCTTTAAAGTAAAGAAGCGTGCTCACTTTTGAGCCAAGATAGCTGGCGAGATGATTATAGTCGGAGGTGTTTTCCTTTTGTATTTGGTTTCAAGGTGACAGAGAGGGGAACACTACTGTCACCATTAAAGTGTGGTCATAAAGTGCGTTACTGCAACCACATTCTCATTGTGGATTTCCTCTGTTCTTATCATTTTACCCAGAAGGCATAATGGTGCAAGCATGACGTGCTTCATCACAGAGCTATCCTTCATTTCGTTAACAAGTAGCACCACAGGCATGCTTTTTGCTGCACCTGTGATATGAAGTGATATAACTATGGAACGGAAAGTAGTGTGGACAGTTTCACTATTAGTATGTAGTGATTTGGTTTCAAGGGAAGATGGAAGTTGAAAAATGCAGGTTTTTTCTCCATACTTACACATTTTTGTTTCTATCACCTTTCAGAAGTTTAGTTTCTCTAGTTTCACCACAAAAAAACTGAGAATTGTATTTAAACTTCAAGTAGGTTAAAATCTCTTTTAAACAGCACAAAGTGGCGAAATACTAAAAAGAGCTATTGTCAAGAGTCCCTTGGAAATTGTCACCTGGCTGCTTTCCATTGCTTTTGTCATGAGTTCACTAAAGCCACAAGCTCAAAATCACAATGATTGCCATGTTCTCATGATTGGATAAATCATTTTAAAAACCACATCTTTGGTGCGTAGCTGGCTTTGAGTTGCATCTTTAAAAATGAGCCTTTTCTCAAAATACACTTCCGGGCAACTTCTTGAGTATTAGACATGTTGTTTTTGGTACTTTTGGTAACCAGATCAGGATAAAATTTTGCCCGCATATTTTTTAACATGTGGAGGGTACAAGTATTTCTTCTAGAACTATTGCCAATATAATTAATACAAACATGAAGGAAACAATTAGCATGGGCTAACAATTCTAAGAACTCTCCTATTAAACTTTTTTGTCCATTTAAATGTCTTATATGCACTTTCATGATAGTTATTTTCATTCGACAGTTAATGTGGAGCATTATGAGCCTGTGATGGCTCAGAACAATAAAAGCTTGCTGGCATAAAAAGTTTCTCCAAAATAAACTTTACACATTGTCGTTGCAGAAAACTAAACCTGTGCAATTTACTATAAAACTAATTACAAATTTTAAATCAGCTTGAAAGCCAATATATAAAGTAAAAAAATTGCCGCGTGTCTGCGTGTTTCACTGCAAATGACCTCAAAAGATGTGAATCTTCTGTCTGGAGAGAGAGAACAAAAGGTTTATTTGATGTTCTGCGCAAGAGGGTCGGTGAATGGTATCTTAGAGGCACTGTGTGAGACATGAGCACTATCTGGTGGCTCATTTCTTGGAAAACGAATTCTGGAAACTAGTCTTAAAAAACGAAAGGATCTGTGCATGGTCATCGGTATAGCAGGCGCATGCCGTACGCCTGCTATCTTGGAGGCTATAATCTGTAGAATGCAGAACCACGGGTAGGTGGCAGCACTGTATCGTCTTAGGAAAGCATAGGACACACCCACCTTTTCGTGCATAGCATTGCACTGTCAGTGCAGAGTAATCAATGCTACGGTCTTTAGAAATATATATATGCCTTTTCTAGCTTAAAGAAACACACAGACAAATACTGACGTGCTGATATTGCACCTCAAATATGCATATTTGCTTTTGATTCGACATGGTGCACAAGTATGAACACAGACACCAGATCAAGATCGATGGGTGTTGCGGAAGGGGTTGAACTTTGGCCGAGAAGCTGAATCATTTTGGTTGACAGACAGGCAAACAGAAAGACAGGCAGAGAGACTAAAATTCCTGCTTTGGAGTATCACAGAAAAGACTGTCATCTTGGGAATTTGATTGCTTAGCCTACAGATTAACAAAACTTTTTTTTTTTTTAATTGCATTTCTCATTAAGTACAGTAGTGCAAGGTAGAACCTAGGGCAGTTATTGAAAGTAGCAGTGGTCCTGTTTATTTCCTTCTTTTTTTTCTTGTCTTTACTTGTCCTTACGTTGTCTTGCCATACCTGTAGTTGTTGTTTGTCTCATATTGTGGGCCTATGCCTCACTGTCCTGCATCGGCGTTGGGCCATGTTGCAGCTTCCCGAACCGCAGGACATCAGCGACGAAGAGCTCATGCACATCCTCAGCTCGGACGATCCTACTACGTACCGAGTGCCCTTGAGCTTAGGCCTACCGCACGAGGAAGTTGACAAGAGTGAGTCGGGATTTATTCTTTCACCCTGAATTGGGTGAAACAGGGGGGGGGATCTCTAGGAAGTGTGAGGGACCAATCGGAGAAATCTATTTGCCACCTATTGTCGCACAACAAATGGCAGTTCACCAGTATTCCTGAAAAGGAAGGCGCATACCAGTTGCATCTTATCGGTGCATACTTGTGGGGGCGAAAACATGGAGACTTTTACGAAATAATGCAGCCTAAATGGAGAATGACATGGCGAGGCACGCAGAACAAAATGATCAGTGGGTTGTTAAGGGTAAAGAAAGCAGGCGCTCAGAAAACAAACACTGGTTATCGACATCTCAGCAAAGGTTAAAAGTAATTGGGCATCAACATGCCATGTATTGGGCAGGCTAACTAACTGCTGGTTATTAGAGTAACACATGAGGGTGAAAGAGATAGTGGGCAGATGAGGTTAAGAAGTTTGGCAAGGATAGCATGATCACAGCAAGCAGGACTGGATTAACTCGAGAAACCTGGGTGAGGCTTTGCGCTGCAGTGGGCACAGTCCTGCTGTCGATGATGACTTAAAAAAAAGCATTGACCAGTGGTAGCTTATTGACATCGAGGTGAGCTGAAGTACTCAACGCTGTATGATACCTAGTTATCAGCACAGTAAAAGGCAGCAGACATGCAAAAAAATGTTGACATGCCCCGTAAATCTAATGATTTGTGGTCTTAGTGGCACTATTGTGATAACATGATAATAAAAATTGGTGTCGTCACAAAGTGGCTCATATGCTGCAAGCCTGGGCTGGTAATTTCTAATGATTTAGATCATTTTTTTAAACCTTCGCGATTTCGAGGGGGCTTGCTAATTCACGACGCTTATTGCTAGGTATAAGTATGATGCTTTAAGGCATGATGCTGACAAAGGAAATATTGAAACGAATGTCCAGAAGATAGGGAACCCAAATTAAGTCTAGAGTAGGGTAAGGGTTAGTTCTATGGCTTGTTCTACTTTTGACCGTGCGCATCGCAAAGAAGGTCAAACTGTCATGCGCATACCTGAAGACATGCGTGAATACCTTCAGAAATTGTTGACATGTTGATAACTAGCCACCATTATAAGTGGCATCAATTTCGTGTGAATATGGTGAGACAAAGTAATTGAAATTGCGTCATTCGGTTGCAATTAATCAAGCATGTTATCTTGTAGACATAATACATGCTTTGCTGGTGCAGGAAGGTTAAAAAAAATGATCTGAATCCATTAGAAATTACCAGCCCAGGCTTGCAGCAGTACGAGCCACCTTGTGACGACACCAATTTTTATTATCATTCTATCACAAAAGTACCAGTAAGTACCAGTTCTCTTTATAGTTTTCAGTACCACTAATTGACATTCGGACCATTCTAAAAAACTTGAAATATTCTGTGAAATCGTTGAGTGCATAATAAGACTCAGAGCCGAACAGGGTGTCACATCCTAAGCTATATCAGTCGGCATTTTGCATCAAGCTGATCTGTTTTTATGTTTTTTTTTCTTCTACCAATCTGCCATTGATACTGGTAGTGCTTTTGTTCTCTTGTTAAATGAATGTAGAATATGATTTTGGAAGTTTTCATGAGAGTTTAGAAGTAGTTTCTAACAGATAATCTGACTTTGCTCAATTATATACACTGCTGGTGCAAGCCAAAGGCAGAGGACAAGGCACTCGATGCTTGCCAAGTAGTTCAGCTACTGCAAAATTTCCGTGGATGAAAAAAAAAATGTACAGGGTGCTAAAAAAGTGTTGTAACAATCGTAGTGTCTCAGTAGATTATCGATAACTCACACTGTAGGAGATCTCATGATCTTGTTTGAATTAACAGGAGCTCTTATAAATATGACCCAGGGCAAAATACCAGCTAGTGTCACGATGTTTATTGTTTCTCAAGGCTGCAGCAACATTGTAGGCTAGTCTGCATGATTGCCAGTAAAGACGTCAGCAATCCTACCTGGTGATCATTACAGTGCAGAGTGGCATGCGTGTGTAGTAAGGTGACAAAATGTGTTGTCCCTTGACAGTTTGTTGGCCCCTTCCTAGTCTTGGGATGCTTTTTCCCATGACAACAGTGTATTGCGGCAAAAGTGTGCAAACCGCGTGCAGTCTGCACATTTTTTTTCAACAGCCTGGCCAACCACATCACTCTTCTCATCATAATTTTATTCTAACTTTCTTGACCAGTGTATTGAGGAGCCACACAATAAAAATGAAAAGAAGGAAAGGAACAGTTAGGAGGCAGTATTTCACTATGCAATAGAAAAGAAGAAAGAAAAAAATTGGCCCCATATCTGCATGTTTCACAGCAAATATTGTTGAAAGAGCATAGTCTTGCATGTGGGGAGAGTGAAAAAAACGTTTATTTGATGCTCTAGGTGAGAAAATCGGTGAATTGTATTCTGAAAGCGCAGCGTATAGAGTCTCCATCCATGCAGCGAAGGCGAACGAGCGCGTCGAGGCACGTTAGACACGAGTGCTATCTGGCAGTTATCTTTGAAATGAAGGAAGACATGCGCGCCCACGCAGAAAGATGCGCACCTGTCTTGGAGGTGATAAAGTGTAGAACGCAGTGATGGGCAGGTGCCACCACCGTGTTGTCTTAGCAAAACGGAAACACTTGCCTTTTTGAGCATTGCGTTTCACTGTTAGTGCAGCCTGATAAACGCTATGGTCCTTAGAATTACTTATAAGTGACTTTTCTAGCATAAAGTCATACGTACAAAATATTGACGTGTTGTTAAGGTGCCTCAGATATATACAATAATTGCTTTTTAATTGACAATCGCACAAGTATGAAAGCTGAAACTTGAGCAATATTGGTGGGCGCTGCAGATGGGGTTGGCCGTTTAAGGTATCGTTATGATGAACAAACTGGCAAATGTACAGACAGAAAGCCAGACTAAAATTTTCGCCTCGAAGTATCCCGAGAAAGACTATTGTCTTTAATACTAGGTTACATTTTGCTTATGCCAAGCTTTGCTTGCGCCTCATATTTCTATTAGGGAAGGACTCCCAATTTCTTTAAAGACGATAGTCTCTCTTAGTCTCTCCTGGGATACTTAAGCCCCAAAATTTTAGTCTGTCTCTGTCGGTCTGTCATACGATCCATCTACCTATCCATAGTCAAAGCACCTGCTGAACGCCCAGCCATCTTGAAACTGGTGGCTGCGTTTATACTTGTGAACATTGTCGTTGAAAAAAGCAAACATTTACGCATATCCGAGGTGCAAAATCAATACATAAGGAGTAGGCGGTGTGTTCGTTTACTAGGAAATACACAGATGTGTAATTCTAAAGACCATAGTGTTTCTTACGCTGTGCTGAAAATGTGATGCTATGCACAAGAAAGGCCTCTGCCAACGGTATGGTGCTGCCACCTGGTAGTACAGAAATGGTATCAGAATAGCAATCATCACGGGTGGCCGCGGATAAGACTGGGACTCATGTAATACGCCCAGCAGAAGAGTACCTTTTCGACGGCATTTGCCATGAAGCATGCCGATAGGCTGCCAATTTTATTGCGATAGAATTCTATGGACACTCTGGGCTAGATTTTGCCGCCGACGTTGACATGTACATCAGCGTCGCCGTCATTCACTGTATATGCATACGTATCTATATATCTCAAAATGCAGGAAAGAAAAGTAATCCAGAAAAAGACTCTGGTGCGCAGAATCAAACCTCTAACCTTGTGAATTGTGAGTGCGAGGCGTTAGCCATTGAGCCACGAAAGAGCACCTCCTTCAACGTTCAAATGGCAAGCTATTTATATCTACCACTTACCGCTGGCGATGGGCATTTCGACGGGAACTACTATCGTGTTTTAAGCATTACCAGTGAGATGACGCAGTGAGCGCCTGTTGCCAGATCGTCACAACATGAGGGCGTGCACTTTCATTCCTCACCCATACTTAGCCCCATGGAGAGCGTACTCTCTCAGGTGCGCTCGCTTACCTCGTTGTGGGGACAATCGCACACCTTGGGCTTTAACCAGAATGATTCTCTTGTAGTTACCGGGCACACAGTGGTCACTGTACTTGTTGCACAGTCTTCGTTTGCGAAATGGGCGCGCTTTTCAGACACGATGAAGTAACAGCTGAGACACTTATTCGCATTCATCTGTACCTGTGAATAGGTTTCATGCGTTCTTTGTGCGTAAGAAACCAGAGGCACATTTAGATCTGCTTGCCGTTCTTTGCGTGACCTTCCAATTTCGGATAACGCGTTCAGTGCTTTGCCTTTGTGGCAAAACTGGGACCTTTTTGTAAAGTTTTTCATTGTCATCTGTCTCTCAGGTGGAGCACCATGCACAGCGTACGATGTGATCATCAACGAAGCCTTCTTCCGTAAGATCAGCTCCAATGAGCTTTTCAAGACCTTTCTCATCACAGTGGCACTGGATGGCATTGAGGAGAAGTACAAGGCCCACCCTGAACGAGGTATGTCCGCATGCCTCTTGTTGAGCCACATGAATTTAACTTGGGCGTGCAAAGTCGGACCTGTGTGGCTTAGATAAGTTTTATTTTGTTAATTGTACCTATTCTACCAAATGTACGCTTATTCGTGCTTTAGTGGACATTATCCTCGCAATGCAGTGCTGTGTAGAATTCTAGTAGGGGATATACAATAGTCAACAAAAGCTATTGCTAAAACCTCATGTGGCAGAGGTCTTGGCATTTAGCAGATCTCGTTATGTTTAATAAAAAAAAAAAGGGGCATGACATTTATAGTGTTGTGCCACGATTCTCTTCTCTCCTGTTAATGTGGCCAAAACTGAGAAATGTGTAAGAAATATTGCCAAGAATGTGGACTTTTATATTGAGGAAGCTAAAGCCGAAAGTCATCACCACCGCTGAGATACACATGTGTTTCCCTCTCAAGTTTTCAAGCAAGAAATGCTTTTAGCTTCCATTGTTGGCAGCCATCAAGTGACCTTGAGCCATACACAGGGGCCATTTCTGGGGCGCTCGAAATGAGACACTGAAGTTTTTAACAATAAAGTACATGCATTCAGGCGAGATCATTAAGGCATCATCAGCAGGACATCCAAACAATGAGGTGAAATGTTGAAAGAATTCTAAAGAAATTAAGAACTGTGTTGCTTCTGAGTTCGTTTCAGTGCTGATTCATGCTATCACCGTGGCTTTAACTAGGCTGAAACATTATTCACCATTTAAATTTGGACCAATTCCAAAAGCAGGCAGGACACCATACACTTGATTTTTCAAACGCCAGTGCCAAGCCCGTACTGTTTTGAATGCCAGCAGTGGCAAGTAAATGACACAGTATCACAGAGCAACAGTTTTGATGAGCGGGTTGCTCCATTTTTGAGATACGGCACCGCTCAGCGGAAAGCGCACCAGCTTGCTGTCGCGTAGTGGCTGAATTGTTCGTGGCCGTTAAGCAAGGTCCTCGACCTGTCGGGGCAGTGTGGCTCGAGTTTGGTGGGGTGTTCCCATAAGAACATGCACAAGTGTGAAAATGGCTCATGCTTCTTACACTCAAGGATGTACTAATGGAAATATAGAGGCTTGAATGTGGACGCCTGACAAAACTGACGGACACGTTACACAAGCGCGCACAAAGAAAGCACACTTGCGTCTTTCATCAAGGTGGTAGTTTCTATCGCTGCAGTGATGACGGGCTTGCGGCACGTTGGGCCGCATTTGTATGTCACGTTAGATTCGAGTACAGTAGTTGGGAGGAAGGCCCAGCACAGGACAGGCAAAGGGCATGGCTTGGCCACTCTGGAACATGCCGACACCAGGTGAATACTTGTCCCAGGAACATGAGTACTGATCAATCGCATAGCTGGTTCTTTACCATAGCCAGAAAATCCAGGAACTGGCTAACCTCTCTGTCCTTATGCCTGTTTCTTAGGTTAGGTTAGGTCTTGGCTTTACTGGGTACGAGGGTCCCACTCAAGCAGCTCAGTTTAGCATCATGGCTGATGGTGTAGCGCGGTATCTGCTTATCAGTGTCTGCATTGTGGTGCCCTTATTTATATGTGTGCCTGACTGCGTACTTCAAGCACACCTAATTCCTACAACAAGATTGTGGCTAGTACAATCTCCAACCAGTCTTGCTTTGTGGATACGCATTTAAGGCTTAACTCTACTCTCGATTATGTGGAAGACTTTAACTTTTTGTCGCAAATGTTTAACTGAAAGGAGTAATCGCCTATTTAAAAAAAATTACGGGAGATGTCGACTTTTCAATCCGAAAAAAAAAAAAAAGTGCGCACACTGCTGGTGGCGGTTTCTTCATGAAATCCACAGTGCAATGCAACTTCCTTTCTCAAAATAATGGACCGTAATGTAATGAGAAACAGACAGTATGTATTCGAATTGGTTTTCAGTACTCACAGGGCCCTAGTAAAGCTTTTGCAGGACAAAATGCAAAATGTTTGACAATTTCGAGCTGTGGTGGTGGTGGTGGAGAGGCAGCAAGGGGCATCTGTATGTCGTGGTCATACCCTTCCTCTCGAAAACCAGAATGAAATGTTGTTTTGACATCGGCTACTGGCAGGCACTATTTGCTGGGCTCGCTTTCTCAGTACTGCTCCTCTACATTGTGTTGGGGTGAGGCTTACAACCTGGTTACACTGTTCGTTATTAACATTTCTTACTAATAACGAAGAATGTGCACCGAAGAGATGCAGACTTAACTGCCGTACTAGTTAGTCCAAGTGATGCCAAACTTCATTTTGTTGCTCCAAACCTGTTCTGAAACGCCAATTTTTCAGCTCCAGATCTGCTCGTAAACACAGTGTCTCTTGCTGTAAGTATGCTCCAGAATAGCTTATTTTTTTTCCTACTCCCAGAATTTCTCCAAATTCAAAAATGGCTGGACCACGACAGAATTTGAGCCTATTGATACGTGGTTAATCGAGAGTGTTGCAGTATCGATTGATTGGTTTAACGTCCCAAAACCACCATATCAATACGAGAGATGCGATAATGGAGGGCTCCGGAAATTTCGACCACCTGCGGTTTCTTTATCGTGCACCCAAATCTGAGCACACAGGCCTACAACATTTCCGCCTCCATTGGAAATGCAGTCGTCACAGCCGGGATTCGATCCCGCAGCCTCCGGGTCAGCAACCGAGTGCCTTAGCCACTAGACCACTGCGGCGGGGCAGTGTTGCAGTATCAAACAGACATGCTGGACACTTTAAATCAAGATTCCAGGACAGATGGTAACCTATTTGTACTTTATCTTCCACCTATTGTTCACATTGTAGCATTCTTAATGTACTGTTGGCTATGTGTAAAGTGCGTAAAGGTGGGAATTCATGGTGACATCTTTTCACGAGTGGGGTTTTGGGCTCGGCATAATGTGCATGCTCTGGTTCCATGCAGAGAGCTATGTGGTGCTGAAGAACAAGCTCTACATGGGCACCATGCCAGACCACTCCATACAGGACAGGAAAGGACCACTCATCTCGGAGCTGCCCACGTGAGTGCCTTCTGCATATTGCTTGCACATTATCACTCTGTGCATGGCTTGCATGCCAGTCTGGTGCGTTACGGCGTATTCGGTTGGCCACTCTGGTCCTCTGGCCCAGAGTCGCCAGATTCGGTGGCAGCTCCCAATCGGAGTGCGATAGAAAGCGTACCAACCGATACACATCGGCGATTTCAGAGCACCCAGAGCAGTGCACCTGCAGCGCCACCGTGCAGCCAGCGCGAGAAGCTGCCGGGTAAACATAGCTGCGCCGCGTCAACATTGTCAACAAATGGTGCCGATCACTTCAGTGGACATCTGTGACATGTCTTACCTTTGTTATATTCTTCGTCTCTCTGACATGTCTGGATGTAGTGAAAGCCTTCTGAGCTCAGCACATAAATCCAACGATCGTCCTCGTCCAAAAGGCTTTATGCGAGCTGCTGTAACGACAGCACTGACGTCTCTTTCGCCTTGGCTAGCCGCCTCGTTATTGACATGGTGCATTTATGGCTTTTTGGGTGTCGATTCGCTCCACACACGCGCGAAACTGCCATTAACAACACACGTGTATTACGCGCCCGGCGTTTATCCCTTCCGAAATGCACGCTCCGCGCTCCTCACCTCGTTCACCTGCCAGGAGTAACGTGATTGGCTGGCTTGTGCCAGATGATTTGTCTTCTCGGTGAGATCGCGCCCCGCTCTCACTTCGAAGTCAGAGCGGTCGGGAGCGCTCCGAGTCAGAGGCTGACGCTCTGAAAGAACCAACCGAGGGTAGTTCGAGCGCTCGATTTCTACCAACCGAAGGCGCAGCCACTTTTCAGAGCGCTCCAGAGCGCTCCAAAACGGCCAACCAAATATGCCATTAGAGAACTGTGCGGCAAGCAGTGGAATGCGAAAGCCCAGTTTTAGACATTGAAAGTTTCAACAAAATGCTTGCCTTATTTTTCAAATTTTAATATTGAATGTTTCCCTTCTAAGAAGCAAGTTCCTGATATTGAGAAAACTTTGCTGCACATACAAAAGGAAATCGGTGTAGTGACATGCATTGTTACTCGTGGGAGAAGGCCAGCTCCTGTGCAGTGAAAACAAATGACACCATCTTATGCTAAACAGAAAGATGTGTGAATGAAAAGTAGTGGGGAGATGGTTAGTTTGAAAGGGAGATGGTATACTTTATTGAGAGAACGAATGGGAATGTAATGGGAACAGAAGAGAGACAACATGGTGTTTGCATGATTTATTTAGAGACCATATGCGATCCCTAGCGTCTGTGCACGTGGTGCTTTGAAGAGGACGGCCTTGTGGTTGGTGAAAGGTGGTCTTGACGTTTTGATTCGACTTCCCGCGTTTGGAGTTTAAGGTCCGCTTGCAATTGTTTGTGTTTACTTTCCGCTTCGCAAGCTCGAAGTTCGGGATTGCGTCGCCACCGCTCTGGTTTCGCGGCAGGGGCCCGAGCGCACATCACAGCACTGCCAAAGAGAGAGAATGAGACACGCGCCGCATGCTCCAATTGGAGTACGCAGCTATCGCACCAGCTGTTGTGCGCACCGTTCCATAGAGTAGAGGATTCCTAAACAAGAGATTGGCACAAGCATACGAGAGGAGCAGATGAAAGATGGCAAACACATGTGCAGTGGGGTAGACACAATGGGAATGAAGGAGGGAGGGATAAACAAAGACCCCATCGAAAGCTGTTTTGCATCTAAAACAACAGCGTTGCTTAAAAGTCATCATCATCGTCACCATTTGAGTCATTGGGATATCAACATAAAGCTTTTCTGCGCCGACGGTCCAGTGGCCACTCACCAATAACAAACCCCTGCTTTCAGTATTTATCATCAAAATATATTTGCCGTATCACTTTGAAATGTGTGTATCATTGGATGAATGTGCATGGTTATGTAAAAGGAGCTCCTTGGAAAGTTACTTGCCATGGCTTGTGCTTTTGATTCTTCACCGAATGCTGAGTTCGCAGTGCGTCGTGAAGCTGAATAGCAAGAAAAACAGTATGGGTGCATTCAGACGACGAACTGATTCCAGATTTTTTGTGTATGCGAATGGCTAATTTGCAGATGACTCACCTGCGGGCACATCCACACGACGGACGTGGTATTATGAGAGAAGGTCCGAATTACTCTCGACTGCAGCCTCTGTGCTCACTTGCACCCGCTGCCAGCAGACTGGTTTCAGAGTATTCAACAATATGAAGGCTAACAAAGTACGAAGCTTGTCGAACGTTGTCGAGGGCTTGTGAAAGTGAAAATGATGTTTTTGCCTAAATGGCTAGATGGGGTGAAAGACCTGCTGTGCAGAGAGTTGCTGAAGACAGACCTCACAGCTGTTGGGTGTGGGGTCCCGCAGTACGAAGGTATGATACAGTGACGTTCTGGCGAAAATTGGCAGTGTTTTTTTGTGTGTTTACTATTTCTTTTTTGCGGATGACAGGTACCGAAAGTGCATATTGCACTGATGCACATTGTTTCATTGTTTTGGTTATCTTGATCTTAATCAGTGTTCAAAACATGGACCGTGTTCTTAGACTACCACTTTCGACGACAGTGCCACTTTGTCTTGTCGCAGAATCTTCCATGTGCAGTTATTAACTTGACAACTTACCGTAATTACTCGAATCTAAAGCGCACCTTTTTTCCGGTTAAGCTGAGTTCATAAATCGCATGCGCGTTAGAATCGAGTACGAACAAAAAAATTACGGTCAATCTATTGCCATCAGCAAATTTAAAATGGCCGCCCCCTACGTGCGTCGGCATGGCGCGTTGGCCATTTCTGCCTATGTGTTTCTCATGTGCGGCACTTCGTACGTGTGCTGAGGAGTTCGTCATCTAGTAGTGCATTAGCATCGACGGCGTGGAAGGGCCGACTCCAAAAGCTCGAGTGCACCACGATGCTGCTTTTAAAAAAAATGTCATCGCGTGTGCAGAAACGGACGGAAATCGGGTCGCATCGCAATCGTTCGGAGTTCCTGAAACGTGCGTGCGGGACTGGCGGAAACAAAAGCAGAAGATTGTCGACCGCAAAGCTTCACGCAAAGGGTCGGTTTCCGCAAATTAAAGAGCTGCTTGGCGAGTATGTGCTTGTGCAGCGAGCGGCACAGCGGCCCGTGACGACAGAACTGCTCCAAGTGCGGGATATGCAATTAGTCTAAGAAAAAGGTCTAATGCGGAGCCAGTTTAAAGCGAGCAGGTGCTGGCTAACTAACTTTATGAAGAGGAAAGGCTTTTCCCTCTGAAGGGGAACATGCATATGCGAAAAGTTTTGCGGAGGAGTACGATGAAAAGCTTCACAGTTTTCAGAGGTTCGTCCTAAACTTGCGGGGCAACAACGGCTACCTGCTTGGGCAAATCGGGAATGCCGATCAGACGCTTCTTTACTTCGACATGCCTGGCACCACAACCGTCGAGAAGAAGGGGGCGAAGCAAGTTAGCGTGCTGACATCGGTCCACGGTAAAACTACAGTGACGGCAATGCTCTGTTACACGTCAGATGGGCACAAGCTTCGCCCGTACCTCATATTTAAATGGAAGACGCTCCCGAAAGGAGTAGTTTTTTCTAGTGGTGTGATCGTGCGGGCTAGCGAGAAGAAATGGGTGCGCGTTGCAATCGATGTCTTACGTTTTTTTTTTTTTCGCGGTGGAAATCGGGTGCGCGGTAGAATCGAGTAAATACGGTACTCGCTTCTTTCTAAATTTTCAATCAGCATGAAGTGGGGGCAAACCTGCTCCGACTTGCACCAGCTGGAAATTGGTGCGCCATACTGCTCCAAAAAGGTCTCTCTTGTCTAATTTGCATCATTGCTGTGCCAAATGGTGGTTCTTGAACCGAAAGTAATGTTTACAGCACTCATCATGAGCGGATATTACATGGTGGTTGCCATCTTGTTCGCTTGCGCTGCTGCATCAGCGCACAGTAGTATCGCTGCAAAAGTACGGAGTCGGCCTATCAATTATACCGACTTCCCTGCGATTGCGGCAGTACCTTTTGTGGTAACCATGGGCAAAAAACAAAAGAAATGTGCCAACTGCTGAAAAGCGCATCAGTATGACTTATCGCTGATAAAAAGCCTAAATGTGTGGCATAGCACCATGTTAAGCCTACTTCACGCTTTTAATAGCCAGCGACTACCTGAGAGCGCTGATCGCATCCACTTAATCGTTGTGCAGCATCGTGTTCAGAGTTCAACACATTGCAGAAACGAAAGCAGCTGACTGTTGCGGAATTGAGCGTTGTGGATACCGGGCACCAAGACAGCAAGCATAGCGCACACTTTTATGAGGGGACAGGCCAAACGCACCGCTGTCCGCTGCCAGAACTGCTGGAGCGTCGCTTGCAGAAAGCTCACATCATTGCGTTAACGCAACAGGCTTCTCACCACATCTGTGTGCGGTCTGAAGCAGAGTGGACGCTAGTTAGTAGCTTGGCAAGGGGGTGTTATGTGGTTGGCGAAGCGCTGCACGCAACTCGCCAGTAAACGATCGGCTCCCTTTGACAGTACCGTGTATAAAAAAGCTGTGTCAGTTTTCAATAAATAGCAGATCATGGTACCTATTTATCGTGGACAGCTGACTATGTCCATTTCACCACTGTGCCATGCTGTGTTGGCTGCATAACCTGGACTCCGCAGCAGTTATGAAATGCTCTTTGACGTCGCCTCCGCGTGCCATCGGACGGTCGTGCGAGACTGTCAATAATTTATGAACATGGGCAAAAAGAAAGAAATTGCTTCAGGGTGACACTTTTGGCAATGTTCACTGTGGCACTTTATTTATTCCTTCTCTAGCGGGGATGGTGCTCGGAAAGAAATGCAAATCGGTACTTGGTCATAGACGCGTGCATGGAGTGGGGGAAGGGACAGAGGGGTGCAGATCCAGCCCCATACATTGACATGATAGGGAGGGGCCTGCTGTGACAAATCTTTGCCCCCTTCTCCCATTAAGTGTAACCCTGCGCAGGCACACATATGTACTTGGTGGTTAATGTATACTACGTTTAGA